AGGGGAAACGCTACGCCCCCCCCCACTCCCTCCTCAGCTGGGAGCAGATACCCAGGCCAGGGCCTCAGTGTCCCCAGCAGAACATGACCTGGGGGACCCGGGCTCCCAATGCCGGGGTCTGAGCAGGTCTCACCACACCAGCCTGGAACCCTAGGCAGCCCTCCCGGCTCCCCGATGCCAGCCTGAGACCCTCTCCCACCACGGCCACCGGGCTCCCAGCTCCTTGGCCGGCTCAGGGAATTCCTTCCCAGCCCCTCCCTGCCTCTGCAGCTTCCTGTGTGGAAATGGGTCTGGATCCTGCCTTGCGAACACAATATCGGGAGGGAGTTTCCTGTTTGCTGGAGCAAACCCCAGGGTCCTCCTGCCTCCCGCCCTCCCGGTCCAGAGCTGCAGGGGCCCCAGGAAGCGCCCCAGCCAGAAAACCCCGAGCACTGCCCCAGGCCACCAGGGCTGGAACGGAGGCAGACCCAGTGGGGACCAGCACATGCGTGTGACCCTGGGACAGGGCACACCGAGGCACGGAGCCAACCAGAACCAGCCGTCTCTCACCCCCGGCTCCGGGGCATCGGTGGCAGCAGGACTCAGGAGGGCTCTGGGCCCTCTTGGGGATTTTTCTTAAGTATAAAGTTCATTTAGAAAGGACACTTTACCCTGCACGGTGGCTCACACCTGTAACCCCAGCTACACAGGAAGCCAAGAGTGGGAGAATCGTGGTCTGAAGCCAATCTGGGCAAAAAAGTTCACAAGACCCAATCTTAACCAGTAAAAAGCTGGGCACAGCGGTGAACGCCTGTTACCCACACCACAGCAGAAAAGCTTTTGCTCAGCCCAGGGATAAGCCCAAAACTCTATTTAGAAAGGAAACGCGGAGCACAAAGGGCTGGAGGCATGGGGGGGGGGGACTCTCACCAGCCACCCGGACCCCGAGTTCAAACGCCAGTGCCACAAAAGACAACAGACGTTTTTAGGGTTCTTCCCAGGCTCAGCCATAGAGCTCGGGGGCAGAGATGACCCCGCAGAGGTGTCCCACAGGTCGGACAGGCCCAGCCGCCCAGCGGGCCCTCAGGGGCAGAGCAGGGCAGGGCATGCCCTCCCCCACCGGGGAGTGGTCTCTGAGGACCCCAACCCTGGGCCACACCCACAGCCGTCTCCCAGCCACGCAGCTGAGCCCCCGTCGCGCCTGCCCACCGCCCAGCCCAGCTCGGGCCTCTTCCCAGCTCCCCTCTAGGCCCTGGGAGCCTCCCGCCCCCCTCCTCCCGCTTGGCCTCCGGTGCCAAGGCTGGGTGGGCAGGGCCGACGGCACAGGCCTGGGCTCGCTGCATGAGTCAGGCGGGCACCTTGAGAGAGAAGAGCGGATGGCCATGCGCCAGGCTGGCTCGGAGGCCGTGGGAGCCGGCCCCTGAGCTGCGCGGCGCGTGTCCGCTCCCAGCCCGGGCGGGCGCCTGCCCCCGCGCCCCCGCCCCATCCCAGGCTCCCGGCGACCTGGGCTCCTCCAGTCTCTTGCCCTGAACAGCTGACTGCCAGGGCCCCCATCCCAGTCCAGCCTTGCAAGGTCCTGACAGCCCCAGGAATGCCCCCTCTGCCTGCTTCCACTGAGGGCTGCCCGCCCTCCCTGGGTCTGTTTCCCCAAATGGTAGACACATGCACAGGGATCTCTTGCAGGTGACCTCAGACAGGCCACCCCGCTTTGGCTGCAGTCAAAGAGCTGGGCGCTGGGCGGCTGCAGCTTTCCCATCCATAAAATGGGTGCACGGGGCTCACTGCCCCCACAGGGCGGGCAGCCTTTAATGACAGGGCCCGGAGCTTTGATGTACAGATGAAAGCTCCCGGCTCCCGGACAGTGGGTTCCTTGTGCAGAACGGCAGGGCCTCTCCCAGGCCTGGCCACCGCAGCCCCCAGGCCTGGCCTGGCCATGGGGAGGAGGTTCCGGCCGGCCCTCCAAACCAGCCCAGCCTACGGAGGCCCATGGCCAGGATGTGTGTGCCCTTCAGGAAGTAGACTCTGGACCCCTCCGGTGACGGGGTTGGGGGGGCAGGGAGGCAGCAGGTGATCTCTAGAAGGGAAGGGTTAGCCAATCCCCACATACCCCACATCACCCAGGCGGCCTGGGCAGGGCATGCTCCAGTCCACCCAGAACCAGTACTGCCCGATCCTGAGGACAGCACCTCCACGCGGGCCTCCAGGGGCTCGGATCCACAAGATGACGGACCAGGTGGCTTGTCACCTCCCTCCCGAGAACCTATTCCCCCCCCCGCCCCCGCTCTGCCCACCCAACCTCCCCATCCCACCCCTCCTCACCCAAGCTCCCCCCGAGCCACAGGGGCCTGGAGGACCCCGGGCTGGCTGGCCAGAGCCTCAGCAGACATCTGCATGCTGTGGGGGCCGCGTCTGTCCTCAGACAGCGGAGACCTGGATGCGAGGGAGCTGTGCCCTGCTTCCCACCGCCACGGGACCCCATCCCGAGGTGCTGGGACCCACGTTTCTGCCACAGCCCTGCAGAGTCCTGTGGCGGATCCCCAGAGACCACCGGAAGGCTGGGCTCTGCCCTGGGACGGGAGCGAGGCCTAGGCAGGAGGCCCAGACCAGGCAAACTGCCGAGTGCTGTCTGCGGGCCTGTGGCTTCTCTCCCAACCAGCCCCCGTCATTCCTTTGTTCCTTCCTTCCCGCCTGCCTCCCCCAGCGCCACCCAGCCCGCACCCAGCCCCGCCGTGTGAAACTGGGACTGTGACTCAGCCCCCACCCCACCCTGGGAGATAGAGACCACACACACCGTGATGGGCCACACGGGGGGAGGGGTAGAGGGAGAGAGCAGGGCCCCCATGGAGCCCCACAGGCACTGCCCTCCGCCAGGAAAGGGCCCTGCAGAGCCGGCCCTGGAAGGGGCTTTGGGAAGGGCCACCGAGCTACAGCGCAATGGGGGGGCGGAGCCAGGGTGGCCGAGGCGGGGGAAGGGCCTGGGAGGCTCTAGGAACGGGAATGCATTTCCCAGGGGACAGCCCGAGCCCGGCCGGAGGAGCTCAAGGGTGCCCAGGCTGGGGGCGGCAGCTCAGCCAGCTCCAGCATGGGCATCTGGCCAGGGGCAGCGGCTCTGGACCCACGGGCTTGGGGATTCTCATGGAGGAAGCAAGTCCTGAGTGGGGGCTCTTTGGTGCCCACAGGGACACGTTCTGCCCCATGAAAGGCAGGCGGGGAACTGACACAGTAGTAAGGCCCTCCTGGGGGCTGGTGTCGCTGCCTCAGTTTCCCCAGGTAACAGAACCCAAAAGAACAATGTACTCTACCCTTCCAGGATCTACAGGACCCAGGATCAGACAGGAACTGAGCCTGCCCCTCACTGTGTGGGGGGAGGGGTGGGGAGGATGGGCTTGAGCTTGCCAGGCATGTGCCCTCCCACTGAGCCACACCCCCAGCCCTCTTCTGCCCGGGTTTTTTTGTTTGTTTGTTTGTTTTTTGGTCCGGTTGTGGGGCCTGAACTCTGGGCCTGGGCGCTGTCCCTCAGCTCTTCAGCTCAAGGCTAGCGCTCCACCACTTGAGCCACAGCGCCACTTCCGGCTTTTTTCTTTTTGCTTATGTGGTGCTGAGGAATCGAACCCAGGGCCTCAGGCATGCAAGGCATGCGCTCTACCACTGAGCCATCTTCCCAGCCCCTGCCCGGGTTTTTTTTGAGACCGGGCGGGCCTTGCTTCCTGCCTGGGTCAGTGCCAGGACCGCAGTCCTGTCACGTGCCTCCGGCCTGGCCGTCGCCGCCCCCAGCTACTTGCACTGTCCAGGCTGGCTGAAACGTTGATCCCCCCCCAATCTCAACCTCCCGGGCAGCTAAGATTACCAGGTATGAGACACGAGCACCCAGCTTCTCACCACCTTCTGATCGCCCGCACTGTGGCCCCTGAGGGAATGCCGCTCCCCAGAGTCCCCGGGGCCCACGGACGCCCCGCCCCAGGGACGGGCACACCCCACAGCACCACACCAGTAAACTCAGAGCCACGTGAACAATCGGTGTGTCTTTTATTCACAAATAAAAATGGCAGCAAGATATTATCTACACATTTGTACAAAGTCTGGACACCCTATAAAACACGCAGTGGCTGAGATGCACGAACCTGTCGTGCAGGGCATCTGGTGGGTGGGCAGGCTCCACACTGCATCTGAAAACAAGCCCCTCCCAGGGGCCCCATGCTGCCCACAGGGCGCCCCCAAAAGAACCTGCCCCCCACAGTGGCCAAGATCCCAAGGAACACCGTCCATAGAAAACCGTAAAAACCTAGATCATTTGTCCTCAAATCCCACTGCGAACTAGGCGCGTAGACAAAATGATACAAAAATAGGAACCCAACACAGAATTCTTACAAAACCCACACCCTGTCTTTGTGTCATTGTGTTTTCTGCTTGTGGTTTTGGTTCGCATTCCTGCCATGGAAGAAGGCTTCACGTGTGCAGGCCCCAGTGCCCTTGGGACAGAGCAGGTCTGTCCCACTCTGAAGACCCCGCTGCTGCGGGCTACGGCGCATGGAGGCCTCCAATGCCAACTGTGCCCAGCGGAAGCGGCTGGGAAGGAGAAGCAGCCCTGCAAGGGCCGGGGGCGGGGGCGGCCACTGCACACGGCACGGCCAAGAGGAAGGCGAGAAGAGGCCACCTGCCCCAGCCCGGCCCGAGCAGTCACAGCTGCCTGGGCGCGGGCCGGGCCGGCATGCACTGCTGGTGTCTGAGTCTGTAGCACCAATTGAAAAAGAGAAAAGTCTAACTGAAAGTCAAAGGCACTTGCGTGGCGGCTGAGCGGCCACAGTCTTCCGGTCCCTGTGCGCGAGCTCGCTCTTTCCGTGGCCAGCCGGCCCCTCCCCGCCCTCTCCTCAGCCCCTCCCCCCGCCTCCGGTCCTCCCCCAACCCCACACATCCTCGCTGCGTCCACATCCCATCCCCACATCCTGCACGCTCCCACCCCACACCCCTGCACACTGCCCCAGCCTCGTACCCCTGCACGCTGCCCCAGCCTCGCACCCCTGCACGCTGCCCCAGCCTCGCACCCCTGCAGGCCCTCGTGCCCGCCTCAGACGTCCACCTCCTGTGGCCCGGGCCGGGCCGGGGCTGCCGCGACGCTGATGTCGAAGCAGGTGACCATCATGACATGGGCCTTGCACAGGTTCACACACTGCTCCAGGGCGGCCGTGGCTCGCTCCAGCGCCACCAGGTACTCGGCAGACTCGGGCTCCAGCTCGGGGTCCACCTCAACTGGGAAGGGGTGGAACACGGCCAGGTCAGGGTCAGGGAAGCAGCTGGGCAATCCTCCCCCCCCCCCACCGCCTGCGTCTGGAGAGCTGCACAGCCAAGGTGGCCGCGCGGGCTCGGGCAGGCACTCACACTGCTCCAGCCAGCGGCCAGGCTCCACCATGAGCCGGCCCTGCGTCTCCGCCAGCTCCTCACACAGATACTCGCGCCGGGCCTGCACTTCCCGCAGCCTCTGCTGCCGGCGCTCCGCCAGCCGCAGCCTGGAGCCGACACACACCAGGCCCTGGAGACGGGGCAGGATGCACGGGTCAGGGGTGCTCACAAGAAGGCTGGGGGTCCCTCCCGGGAATGGCCACTGCCTCCCGCCGCCTCCCAGGGCCGCGTACACACTGGGCTTCCAGGGTGGGGGGGCAGGACAGGCGGGTCTATGCCGGAGTGCCCAGATGCTGCTCCACCTCAGGAGACAGGGGGCCTCAGGCACCTGCCTGCCACACGTGAGTGTCCCCAAGTGTGAGCACATATACATTCACACGTGAGCACGCACACATGTGAACACACATGCCAGCACATGCACATTCGTGCACACACATGCTCTCATGAACACATCCCCGTGACCGTACACACATGAATGAACACATGCCTGTGAGCACACACACAGGAGCTGTTGGCCTGCACAGCTCAGGGATAGTCCCTACCTTCTCCACATCCTGGGAGGCCTGTGGGTAAGAGAAGGTGCAGTCACTGGCTGCCTAGCCGTGTCCCTGGGGTGTCCCCCCGCTCTCCTGCTACCTAGGGCTCCCGGCCGCCAGCCCCCGTGTGCCGCAACCCCAGACCTGGGCGGGGTCCTCTCGAGGGGGCAGCCGGTGCCTCTGCAGCCGTTCCACGTCATCGATCTCATACACCTTGATCTCGAAGGGCTCCTTCAGAGAGCTGGCCAGCGGTGGGGGCAGGTCCACCCACTGCCCGGGGAGGCTAGGCTTGCGGCCCAGGGCGGCGGCATCAGGCAGCGGCGCCGGGATCAGCCGTCGCCTCTGAAGGCCTGGAATGAAGAATGAGGCCCTGGCTGAGCTGAGGCCGGGGCCTGAACCAGCCACCAGGCACCCAGAGAAGGCCAGATGCTGAAACCGGACGCTGCTCCACTCTCCCCAGCCCCCAGCCAGGAAGACGAAGGGACTCACTCGCTGCATCCCGGCAGTGCCCGCAGGGCCGACCAGGGCAGGCGGGAAGAGGACGGCCCAGAACCCAGTGCCCAGCTCACGCCCAAGCTCTCCCACCGCACAGCCTACGTGAGGACCAGATGCGGGCTGAGCCCCAGCCCGCGGGACGGCCTGGGGACCCGGGCATGTGCTGGGCCCACTAGGGACCGTGCGCGTGCCAAACAGCCCAAGCACACAGGCCCTGTGCTGGGATGGCCGTGAGCGCCACACTGTCTGGCCCCTTGTGGAGGAGACAGGCTTGCAAACTGTCCAAGGGGGTGTGCCTGGCATCTGTCCGCCGGGCGTGCAGGCGTTTGTCAGGATTCGTTGGGCGCCCACCTGTGGCCCTCTTCTTGGGGGACTTGAGGCTGCGTGCCCGGGCGCCGGGGGAGGCGGCCCCGCTCTCGCTGGTGGAGTCGGGGGCGGAGGAGGCGCTGCCCGTGGCCTCGCTGTCCCGCATCACGCTCTCGTAGCCGCTGCTGCCGCCGCTGTGGTAGAAGAGCGCGGTGCGGCCCATGGCGGGCGGCAGCTCCCCACTCAGCACGCTGCTGTTGTCGCTGCCATGGCCGCTGCTGTAGCGCTGGGGCCGCCGGGGCGCGGTGACCTTGCTGTAGGGGGAGGGCAGGGCGGCACTGGCCGGGGGCCGCTCCTCCGCCACGTTCACGCCACTGTCGTTGCCGCTGTCCGAGTCGGCCGAGCCCCATAAGGGGCCGTTCTTGCCGGGAGCCCCGCCGGCTGCCAGCTCGTGGACGCGGCTATGGGCGGCCCGGAGCGCCTGCTTGGTGCCCATGACGGTACCCCGGCCGGCCTTGGAGCCCATGCCAGGCACGGCCCGCGAGGCTGGCCGGGGGCTGGTCACTGCGCCCCCGGAGGCCCTGCCCGGCACAGGGGCCAGCGGCTTTGCCGGAGCCCCCAGGGCCCGAGACCCACTGGCCACCGGGCTCCGGCCCTTGGCCCCGCTGGCAGGTGGCCTTCCAGCGCCCGCAGCCTTGGCCGAGCTGCCCCTGCAGGCAGCAGATGGCTCAGGGGTGGGGCTGGCAGGAGGCACACCCAGCCTGGGCACGGCCCGGGGTGGCCGCCCAGGGCCCTCTCGGCCCTTGGTGCTGTGAGCCAGGCCCTCATACCGCTCCAAGGACATGTGGCCGGCGGGGCGGGCCGCCATCTCCACCTTGCCGGTCCGGGCTTTCAGGCTGGACGTGGCCTTGGGAGCCGCATGGTCGGTCCGGCTGTTGGGCCTGGCCTCCTCCTCCCCACGGAGGGCAGCAGTGGCGCCGGGCCGGGTTGAGCCCAGGGCCAGGCTGCTCTGTTCCAGGCTGGACTTGCGCACGGGCGGGGCGGGGGGCCCTGCCCCAGTGGGCCTGGGGAAGAAGCCCCCCCTGGGGGCTGTGCTCTTCCTGATGCCGGGCAAGGCCTTTGCGCTGCTCGGGCAGACCCCACCCTCGGCAGAGGATCCTCCGCAGGACACGGTGACCGTGGTCACCCCCAGCGTGGTGGCCCCCCTCCGCAGGGGCGGGGTCCGCACCGCCACCTCTGGCCTGCGGGTGGCCCTGGCAGCCACCTCGTGCCCGTCCGCCACCCGCTGGATGCAGGCCAGCATGGCCTGTGCCTCGGGCAGCCGGGGGGTGCCGGGCGGCGGGCTGGGGCCATCGCTGGCTGAGGCCACTTGGAATGCGTCACCATCATCTGCGCGGAGCAGCCAGGGGTCCTCAGAGGGGCCTCTGGGGCTGAGGGGACCCCGGCTCGGGGCAGCGCAGCCTGCACGGCCGGCTGCTGAGGTAGTCCTTGGCTTGCGGGGGAGGCTGGAGTGGATGGTTGGGGCCAGGGCCGTCCCCTGCAGCGCCCTAGCCCAGGGCTCCCTGCCGGGCTGGGCCAGGGCTGCCACAGCTGACTCTCTCGGGTGAGGGCCAGGCTCGCCGGGTGTGCTGGGACCCAGGGCCCCGAGGCTGCCGTCCTCCAGCGAGCTGCCCGAGGCAGAGGGGTCCAAGGGCCCAGCCGCTGCTGTGAAGTTGGGGCTGAAGGGCGGCTGCAGCGTGGGGCTGCAGCTCAGGGCTGTGCAGACTTCGACCTCACTGAGCCAGGAGCCGATGGAGGAGCAGGGACTGCCGCCCGCCCAGGCTGCCCCCTCCAGGGCGCCCCCCGGAACACCCGGACCCCCGGGGGCCTGGGAGGTGTACGCGTCGAACTCGTCATTGATGCTGCTGATGATGCTGACGGGCCGCGAGCCTGAGGCCAGCGCCTGCAGGGAGCAGTCGCTGCCGAAGCTGGCCAGGCTGGAGGGCCGCGCAGCGCCCGCCAGCGGCCCCAGGGGCAGCTCCTCCACCACCGTGAACACCAGCTCATCCTCGCCGTTCAGCTCCACGGGCTGCTGCACTGTCACCGTGGTGGTCAGCAGGCCGCGTTCCACACGGCGGCCGTGAGCGGCCGGGCAGGGACAGGCCGGGTCTGCAGGGAACAGAGGCTGCTGACCCGGGCACACCTGTCCGCTCATGCCCACGGGGGGCGCGCGCGCCACGCCGTCAGCGCCCCTTCCCCCGGGTTCCACAGGAGCGCCCGGGGCTCCTGGCTGCCGAGGAGGTGGAAGGGCGGGACCGGGCAGCGGTCGCCTGCCTCCCCCTGCCGGGGTCTTGTCCAGGGCTGGCGACTCGGGTCGGGCACACCGGTCTGCCCTCTGGTCACCCTGGGCGGCAGCCCTGGGGGGCTCAAAGGCGCCCCCGCTGCTATCTGCCCCCTGGCTTCCTCGAGGGGTGCTTGTGGCCATCGGGGGGCCCACAGACTTCCTGGGGGACGCAGACTCGGGTGGCGAGGGCCTCCTGGCCCCTCGGACGGGGCTGGCCTGTGCCCCCTCCGAGCCCCCCGGGGGCCCCGGGAGGCCCTCACTGCCGTCGATGCACTCCAGCCGCTCCTGCAGCTCCGCAAAGGTGCTGCAGCGGAAGTGGTCGGCCTCTCCCGGGCCTTCGGAGGGCCGGCGGCGGCTCAGCACGGGGATGATGGGCACGAAGTCAGGCGGGCCCTCATTGTCGGTAAGCTCCCGGTCAGACAGCGCCGCCCCGCCAGGCCCCACGTAGATGACGGTGTCGCAGGACTGCTCGCTGCTGGAGGAGTAGTCCGGATCTCCCGGCAGGCCGGGCGCCAGGCGGTCACGGTCTGGGGTTGCGGAGCGGGGATGGAAAGGTCGCAGGTGTGGGGGGCGGCGGCTCCGGCCCTCCTCACAGGAGCTCTCCCCGCCCGAGGAGCTGGAGGCGTACTGGGGATGGCAAGGCAACACCTGAGCAGACTGGCCTCCGCCTGGGCCCAAGCCCCACCCCTTCCCCTTCCCCGTGCCAGGACCCTTCCCGCCCCTCCCCCTTTCCTATTCCCACACCCCATCCTTCCCCGTTCCCTGTCCTGACCCCTCACCGGACCCCTTCCCTGTCCTACTCCCCTGCAGCCTGTGGACCCTACAAAAGCGCTGCCCAAGACCACCAAACAACACCTGCCCCTGTGGACACCACCCCCGGGCTTAGACAGGACTCGATCCAGACAAGTGCACCCGCCATGCCACAGCCAGGGACCTGTCACACAGAGGGACCGTCACACAGGGGGACCGTCACACAGGGGGACCGTCACACAGGGGGACCTGTCACACAGGGGGACCTGTCACACAGGGGGACCGTCACACAGGGGGACCGTCACACAGGGGGACCGTCACACAGAGGGACCGTCACACAGGGGGACCGTCACACAGGGGGACCTGTCACACAGGGACCGTCACACAGGGACCGTCACACAGGGACCATCACACAGGGGGACCGTCACACAGAGGGACCGTCACACAGGGGGACCGTCACACAGGGACCGTCACACAGGGGGACCTGTCACACAGGGACCGTCACACAGGGGGACCGTCACACAGAGGGACCGTCACACAGGGACCGTCACACAGAGGGACCGTCACACAGAGGGACCGTCACACAGGGGGACCTGTCACACAGGGGGACCGTCACACAGAGGGACCGTCACACAGGGACCGTCACACAGGGGGACCGTCACACAGAGGGACCGTCACACAGAGACCATCACACAGGGGGACCGTCACACAGAGGGACCGTCACACAGGGGGACCGTCACACAGGGGGACCGTCACACAGGGGGACCGTCACACAGGGGGACCGTCACACAGGGGGACCGTCACACAGGGGGACCGTCACACAGGGGGACCGTCACACAGGGCAGGGGGACCTGTCACACAGGGACCGTCACACAGGGGGACCTGTCACACAGGGGGACCGTCACACAGGGGGACCGTCACACAGGGACCGTCACACAGGGGGACCGTCACACAGAGGGACCGTCACACAGAGACCATCACACAGGGGGACCGTCACACAGGGGGACCGTCACACAGGGGGACCGTCACACAGGGGGACCGTCACACAGAGGGACCGTCACACAGGGGGACCGTCACACAGGGACCGTCATACAGGGGGACTGTCACACAGGGGGACCGTCACACAGGGACTGGGTCTCGCCCAGGGAGGGAAGGGGCTTAGGTAGATGAGAGCATGCTGCAGCAACAATCGGGGCCCACCTAGGACTGAGTCCCACCTCCAGGCAGGCCTGAGCCACGTGGCTGGGTCTCTTTCTGCAACGCGCTCATGCTCCACATGCCCCAGGGTCCAGCACTGGGGCCAGACAACCACACACCCCACGCGGCAGGAACTGGGGGCGTGGGTCCCTTCTCCCTCCAGGCGGTGTTAGGTGACACGGGGACCCACAGGGGACCGACGGGGAAGGTTCCCCTCCCCCCGGCTGCAGAGCCACCGCAAGCAGAAGCCACAGGTAGGCAGCAGGTCTGGAGCTCACCTTGGCCTTCTTCCTGCGCAGGCGCTGGATGCGCGCGGCCAGCTGCACGGTGCTGAGCGTCTCGGCGTGGTGCGCCGGGGCGTCCGAGACATGGGCGATCATGGTGGTGCGGCAGCCGCTGGCAGCCAGGGACTCCCGCAGCAGCATGGTGAGTCTGTGGTCCCTGGATTGAGGAGGGCCGGTCTGTGAGGGTGGGAGGCTGGGTGCAGGGTGGGCTAAGGGGCCAGGGACTGGCTGTGCCTGGAGCACCGGGTCTGCCCGGGGATCCTCTTCCCTGCTCATCTGCCCCGTCCAGCACCCAGGTCCCCAGAGGGCCAGCTGTGAACCCAGAGGCGGTGCTGGCCAGCTCCCGCCCGGGGGCCCACTCACCTGTAGGGCACGTGCTTGGCACCATTGACCAGGGCTAAGATGACACTGCCCAGGGCCGACAGGGACAGGCACAGGGACCCCCCGGCGGCCTCTGCACCCCTGCCGGGCGCCGCCTCACAGCTGCCCAGGTCGATGAGGTGCAGGCGGCTCCGGCCTCCGGACACTGGAACGACAGTGCAGGCGATGCTGGGTAGCCGTGTGCCCTGCCCTCCACCCCATGGAGAGAGGTCCTGGGGGAGGCCCTGGGGGGGGAGCAGGGGGGATGGGGGGAGGGCGGAGGGGCGGGTGCACCTACTTCCTCCCTGGCCGCCCTTCTCCACGCGATACTGGTAGACATGCAGGGTGAAGAGCAGGTGGGAGCTGCGCCGGGCATCCTCCCCACCAGCAAGGCCGGAGCTGCGGGCAGCCAGGGCTGCGTCCAGGTAGAAGGCGGCCTTCTCCGCGGTGGGCGCCCGCAGCTCACTCTGGTTCTGGAGCTGTACGAGAGCAGGCGGCAGCGCCTTTAGAGGCGCAGGGTCGAGAGCACCCCCTGCCCCACAGAGGCCCCGGGGGTGGAGGCCTTGGCGAACCTGTGCCCCGCACGCGGGGTCCTCCCGCAGGTACACGCCTGGAGACTGGGCGTCCTGCAGGCTGTCCGAGGCCACCGAGGCCAGCAGGTCGCGCAGGCTCTGGTCGCGGCTGCACACCTCCACCGCGGAGACCCGGATGGAGAAGCGCGCTCCGGTCCTCTCCTTGCGCTCCTCGATGAGCCTGAAGAGCCAGGAGATGGCGCAGGGCACCACGCCCAGGCTCTGGGGTGAGCTGTCCTTCCCAATCATGGTGTAGGACTTGCCTGGAGGACATGGGGACAGGTGAGGGCCGCCCCATCCTATGATAAATCCTCAGAACCCTGCCACGCCGAGGTTCCCCGAGGTCAGCGAGACCCTGGCCTCCGCGCTCCCTTACAAGGCCTCTGCCGGTAGCTCGGCAGGTTGGGGCGTCTCTACAGGATTCCCACATGGAGGAGCCCCTCCCCCGCCTCCACAGTGGCAGCGGCAGAGATGGCGGCGATGGCGGGAAGGAGCAGCCGGCACAAAGCACCGTCAGGGACCACTTACCAAGGCTCCCGTGGCCGAACGAGAAAATGCAGCCATCCACCCCACTGACCACAGACTGCAGCACATCAGCCACGGTGCCCGAGCAGACCTCGGCCTAGGAAGGAACCCAAGGGTCAAGCAGGGGCCCGTGCCAAGGGCCAAGGTCACAGACTTCAGCCATGTCTGTCCTGCCACACGGGCAGGCAGTCCTCCAGGCAGCAGCGCAGGCAGGCAGGGCCGAAGGACCACGCTCCGCTGCACAGAGCACAGGGCACGCGGGAACAGCGGCCCACAGGCACACTGGCTGTGCAGCACAGACCCCGACACAGCACAAGGGCACGGCAGCTGCTGGGACACACATCTGGGGGCATGCACACACTTCGGAAGGTGGGAGGCTCCCAGGAACACCCCCCCCCACCCTGACTCAGCCGGAGACTGGGGCAGGAGCTGTGGAGACAGCCCAGGCCAGGGCCCTCGGGCAGGAAGTCTACCCCTGACCCATGCCCTGGGGTGGCCCGGACTTCCCGCCCTGCAGCTTCTAGCTACTCTACCTGCTCTGAGTCCTGGGGGAAGATGGCGTCGAAGGCAAACATCTTGGGGACGGCTGCCGTAGCCGTGCGCCGGAGGCCCGCACCGCCGGGGGGGCCGGCAGCCGGGTCGTACAGAGTCACCTGCTTCTTCCGGGGGTCCACCTTCAGGAAGGACGTGGACTCAGCCGATCGCTGCGCGCCCTGTGCCGGCCAGATCCGCAGCATGACCTTCACCTGGGAGCGGGGAGAAGCTGGCATGGGAGAGCCGCCCACCGCCCAGCTGGCTAATTACAGGGCAGGAGAAGCAGCAGCTCGCGAGTCAGGACAGCGGACCAGGCCTCGGCGCAGGCACCTGACGCTGCAGGAATGCGGCCAGAGCAGATCCCATATGAGGTCAGCGGGGCCCGGGGGTGGGGGAGGTGAGGCTGGGGGGGGGCAACGCCAGGCGGCAGCACAGGGGTTAGAGGCCGAGACTAGGAGGGCAGACCCCAGGCGCTCTGACGAGCACTCGCCACTGTGGACCTGCAAGGCAGCCTCCTCTGCTGAGGCAGAAGGGCCCCAACCCCCTGTGGATGGCCCATCTGAGCAACGCACAAGCAAACCAGCCAGGGAGGGCAGAGACCCGAGAGGACCCGGAGGCCGCATGGAAAAATCCCCAGGTCTCGTTGCTTCTGACCCCAAAGCCGGTCCAGGAAGCCAAGCTCACAGCCCATAGAGCCAACGGGAGAAAGGCCACAGGAAGCAGCCGAGATCCTTGAAAAGACAGGAATGCTGAAACCCCCTGGCCACACAAGCCCCAGGACAGGCTAGAAATAACTGAAGCAGGATGGGGTAGGGTGGGGGATGGAGGTGGGGAGCAGAGGCAAGAGAACAAAGCCCAGCGTGGTCCTGGGCTTCTGGAAAGCAGCCGTCAGCCAGGGCTACAGCTAAGTGGACACTGTGCCTCCAAAGTATGGAACAACGCCCCAAATATGTGCTGTGCTGGTGCTGGGGTCTGCAAGGCCCCACGGCACCTGCTCCCCTTAGAGAACACGGCGGTCAGGACAAGATGCCAGCCAGCATCCAGAGCCACAGCACTGCAGACACCCAAAACCTGTGTGGCAGACGCCGGTACCGTCGCCAGAACCTCCAGACTGGCACCTCGCGGCCAGCCTCGGGCAGTGCTCCTCAGGGCTGGGCCGCCACCGGCCGCTCCCTGTCCAACTTCTCGCATGGGTGTGAACCAAATGACCCGAGACTGATTTCAGGGCCAATATTTTTCAAGGGTTTAATTGTAAGTGACAGATACATAACGCTATAAAATTGGTTTCTCGAGGGCAGCTCCCGCCCGCGCCAGCCACTCCCCTGGCTGTGCAGAACCCGGAGCTGGGCGTGGAGTCAAGAGTTCCCCCCCCACCCCCGGGGGAAGAAGAAGCCCTGGCGCTATGCAGAGCCTGGGCTCCATCAGGCGAGAATTGCTGCTTTTATTCCCCGACACGAACAAAACGAGTTCATTTCCAAACGCAGCTGAAATGCAGACAGGAAAAAAAAAAATGTGCCGCTTCCCAGTAATTTTTGGCAATTTTTTTTCCAGCGTGAGCTCCTCTACACGTGAGAAGCCGAGCGGGTTCCGGAGATGTGGGAGAATTCCCAGCAGGAGGAGGGCCTGGACAAGCCACGGCTCAGCTCTCTCCACGCCTCCTGGCGCTAATCCCAAGCCGACCTCCAGCCAGCCCGGGAGGGGACCAGGCAGGGACATCGCTGTCCAGCCTGCCCCCCCATCTGCATGCAGGGAACCTGTCATTACCTCCGGGGAAATGATGGGGTCTTCCAGGAGATGAGTGCATCAAGTGCCCCCCAGATGGACAGCTACCACAAAGCCTGGCTGAATAGCCGCCTTCCGGGGAGGGGGAAAATGCACTTTGCATTAAAAAAAGCGCTTCCCGCTCCTGGCGTGGCCCCCCGCTGCGAGGGGCGCCCCCCCCCCCGCTGCCTGCACCCACCGTGGAAGGGATGTCTTCTTTAATACCACAGTGTGATGAATTAGCTTAAGTAGCACATTAATGTCAGAAATTGAACATAATCTAACTTCTTCTCTGTGACAATATTAAACGCCTTTCAGCAGGCGTTTCTACCGTGTGACATTATTGCTAATAATGCCAGCACGCTGGGTCTCTGGGGAAGTGCTGAGTGATTCGGGCCACCAGAAAAAAAGGCTGAAGCTTTACCACCTGCGTGCAGCCTGGCCCCAGGGGTGGGAGGCAAGCTGGGCCCCAAGCCACAGACACAGAGAAAAGCTGCAGCTTTTGCTACCCAGAAAGGAGGCCCCACCCCCCGGCCTACCAGGCAGACACTCCCAACGCCCCCCAGCGGGACCAGCCCCAGCAAGACAGGCAAAGGGCCAAGGCCAGGGTGCAGACGCACCATGCCAGACCCCAGCAGGAAGGGGCATGGACAGAGTTGGCACCAACTCCACCCAGCACCCTGAGGATCCTGAGGCTCAGGCAGGTGACCCCGTCAGGAAGCAGGGTGTGGCCCAGTCCTGGCCCTGGGCCACAGGACGGAGCAGCCGCTCCAGATGCAGACACTGCCCAGCACTTTCAGGCCCCACATCAGCACAGTGACTTGGGGTGCAGCGGAAGGCAAGTTGTTCAGATCCACACGGCTGTGAGGCCCCGAGTTGGGACAGTCACCAGCCAATCTCTTTGCTCCTGGGGCAGGCACAATGCTGGGCCACACACAGCCGCCACCCAGGCCAGAGGGCACCGGGGGCCCTGGGAGCGCAGAGCAGAGCGGCCTGTGCTGACTGCTTGTGTGAGGTCAGCCTGCGGCCAGTGCTGGGCCAGGGGCTGACCTGAACCTCCAAAAACGTTACCTCCAGAACAGGCCAAGGACAGGGAGACCACTGGGTGTGCAAGCGGGCCAGGCCGGCCTACAGCCCATAGCTGTGAGCGTGGCTTCCCACCTTGCCGTGCCAGGCCTTCCCCACCCAGGTGAATGCACAGCTTCTCCACGCAGGGGCTGGCGGGGATGAGGTGCGGGGGAGAGAGTTCCCCCAGTCTAGGGCCCAAGTCAAAACTCTTCAGGAAGGTCAGGAAGGTCAGGGCCCTTGACCTGTCCGGGCCTGACACCCTCTGAGCCCTAACATACCACCGCCCCCATTTCTGCTCATCCGCCCCGGGTCCTGCTGACCAGCCCCCTCCAGCCTGGGAACCAGAAGCAGGCCCTTCCACGCCCCACTGCCAGGCCACCAGACCCAGGGCCAGGTCTACCTTTCCGAAGCCTCCGGGGTTGTCCTTGGCCTTGGCTGCCCTGAGCAGGCAGGGGGGTGCCGGGGGTGGCCACAGCTGCAGGACGCCGCTGAAGTCCGTGGGGTAGGTGCAGGTGCTGCGGGCGGCAGGGGCGGGCGGCGGGGCGGGCTTCTTGCGTTTGGAGGCCAGGCTGAGCTTCTGGGCAGCCCTGTGGAGGAGAACTGTGTCCCTGTATGCACCAGCGGCCGCCCGCCGCCCCACCACTGCACACGCCGCCAGCCCTCCCTGCAGGCCCTGCCAGGCACGCGGCACAGGGCAGGTGACAGGGCCCCACCCAGCCTCCACTCCCGACTGCAGGACGGCCAGCACCTAGGCTGTGGCAGCCACACGGGTGCTCACCGAGCCTCCACAGGCCTCTGTCTTCCAGTCTCTGCAGAGGGATGGTAGGATGCCTGGGGGGGGGCAACAAGCTAACACGTTCTCAACACAGAACCCCCCAACAGGACAAGCTCACCCAGCGCTGCTCCCAAGACTGCTGTGTCCCAGTCCCCAGAGCAGAGGTCGCCTCTCCCCCTCACACACCGAGCCCGCCGGGTCACCAGGGGTTCACACCCAAGCACATTCACAGCGGGCACCGCACACCACGTATGCGCACACAGACCCCCTGGGGAACCTCGCACACAGACCCCCTCGGGGACCCCCCCCGCACACAGACCCCCTCGGGGACCCCCCCCCGCACACAGACGCCCTCGGGGATCCCCGCACACAGACCCCCTCGGGGATCCCCGCACACAGACCCCCTCGGGGCTCCCCGCACACAGACCCCCTCGGGGCTCCCCGCACACAGACCCCCTCGGGGCTCCCCGCACACAGACCCCCTCGGGGACCCCCGCACACAGACCCCCTCGGGGACCCCCCCCCGCACACAGACCCCCTCGGGGACCCCCCCCCGCACACAGACCCCCTCGGGGACCCCCCCCCGCACACAGACCCCCTCGGGGAACCCTGCCTCCTGGCCGGGCGCTGTGTCAGCTCTTGCCCTGGGATAGGTGGCCCCAGGACTACCTCCCCTGGAAAGCCGGAGCCAGCAGCCCTCCCCTGCCCATCAGGCCAGGTGACCCTGGGCAGTACCAGTGTAACACTGGTCACCCTGACCATCCCCAGTCCCTGTGTCTAGCACGACCTTCCAGCCAGGGACCCCCAGCATGCCAGGGGACCAGCACAAGAGGCCAGAAGCTTCCCAGCACCTGGCCGCCCGTCCCGCACCGCCTTCCAAAGTGCCCGCTCCTTCTTGCCCATCCCCCTGGGGCCTCCTGGGCCCACTCTGTCCCCAGAAGAATCCCATGGAAGCCACACCCAGGCTGCAGGGCCTCTGCCAGGCCTGGCGCTCCTGAGCCGCGGAGGCCGGCGTTGTGCTAACTCCTCTCATCTTTAATAGGAGTTGTCTTTTAAGAGGCCCAGGGGACAGCTTCCTCCGAGTGAGGTGTCATCACGGAAAATAAAAGTAATCTACGACGCACGGCGGAGTCCTTAGCGGAGCCCCAACGGCACCCGTGCGCGCCCAGGGCAGGGCCGAGGTGGAGAGCAGAGATGCACACAGTCTGGCTACCATCCGGCGGCTGTGGCCTGGGGCTCCGGGCTCAGTGTCCACGCCCTGGACCGTGCTGCCTCCAGCACGCAGCCTCTCCTGCCTGAGCAAACCTCACTCAGCCCGCAGCACACAGCGACCAGAGGCCAATACTGTCCCGTGCAACTGCACATGTGGAAGGCGAGAGCCAGGGTCAGCAGGGCCCCGACCCACACCCCACGTCACTCCTGAGAGGGCAGGGGGCACAGGGGGGCCCCCAGCCAGTGAAGTGAGCAGCACGAACCCAGGGCTCTTCCTGACCCACACCCCGCGTCACTCCTGAGAGGGCAGGGGGTGCAGGGGGGCCCCCAGCCAGTGAAGTGAGCAGCACGAAGCCAGGGCTCTTCCTGCCTCCTGCTACCGCAGCCTTGGCCTCCGAGCCTGTGCCCCACCCCAACCACCTGGGTCACCCCCAAACATCCCAAGCAGCCTCCCTAGGCAGAAGCTGGAGCCCCACCTCAGCAGACATTAGCATCTCGGGGCCCCCACCCAGCTACCTGGCGCTGCTGCCTGGGGCACACCTGGGGACGCCTTGCCACGGTGGGGGGGGGGGTTGCAGGCGCTGGGGGGAAACTCCCAGGCTACCCTGTGCAGGGCCAGGGGGCTCCCCACCAGGAATCATTTCTTCAGCTGTGAACGGGCACCCCAACCCTGCTCCCAGTCCACACAGGGAGATGGCGTTGGTCAGCACAGGCATGGCCAGGCTCACCGGGGGCTGGGTCCTCCCTGGATCACGCAGATCAGGGTACCGCCAGCTCTGACACAGGCCACAGTTCCATACCCATGCCCCTAGGCTTCAAGGACACAGGAAGGCCAGCAGCAGTCCCCGGGAAATGAGCACACTCAGGGCCAAGAGCAAGGTCGTTTTCCTGGGCTGGCCACTGCGGAGCTGTGCCCAGCTCTGCCCTCAGCCACCCTCTCAGAAGCAGCACCCTGGCCACCTCCTGGGCAGGTGGAGGTCTGCCAGTGCAGGAGCCTGGAGGTCACAGCCCACAGTCTGAGGTAAGTCAAGAATCCCTCTTTCTTCACCTCACCCTCAGCCCAAGAGGCCGGGAGCAGACAGCCCTCCCCGCCCGCCCAGCCCCCGGCGCCTGCTTTTATGGCTCATCCACGGGCATGACTCAGGCAACCTCACCGCACTGGGGCCCCAGGACCGGCACTTTCCCTTTGATGAAACCCAGGCCCCTGTGAAAATGACGCCCATCAGCAATGCCAACACCCATCAGGAGAGGCTGTGGAGTCTGCAAAGGCCTTGGGTGCTGGGCCCAGGCTGGTACCTGGGGCCCCTAGTCTTATGAAAGCTCAAGCCTGGCTTCCGAGCAGCAGGGCAGAGACAGGGAGACGGGGAAAACACAGGGCCAAGAGACCTCTCCACCAAGACCAAGTTAACAGAGGGCCACAGACACCAACCCGACAGTGCTGCTGGCAATGGCAGCCCAGGGGTGGGGAGCACTGGAGAGCAGAGCTGCATCCGAACCTGCCGCAGCCTGCTGCCCCGATCCTCAACCCACAAACCCCCAGGTGCTCAGGCTGACTGCCCCCACCCTCTGTCCTAGCCGCTTCTGGCCAAGCCCAGCACGCACCTGTGCAAGGTGCGGACAAGCCATGTGGAGCGGGCATGGTGGGCTCTGTGCAAGGTGTGAGCGCGCCGGGCGGGCTGTGGGTCACCTGAGCCTCCAAGCAGGCGAGACTCCTCCAAAAAGCCCTCCAGCCCAGAAGCCGCAGCTCACTCAGGTAGAACCCAGGACGCCCCAGTATTCCAGGGAGTCCTTGTGCCAGAAGGAAAGCAGGGAGATGCTGCCCAGCAATCTTCCCCAGACATCTACATTCCAGGTCCCAAAGGTGACCTGGACTTCCCGCTGGGGGCGCTATCCAGCTCCAGACCACCAGTTCTAGCTAAGGGGATGCCAGGCGGCCAAGGCTAGCCCTGCCCAGTGGGTGTTAAGGAGCTCCCGGACTCCTGGGGGGCCGTGCTGCCCTGGCTGTGCCTGCGGAGGCTGTGCAAATAAAAGAGAGACGCGGGGGTGGGAGACAGAGCCCAAGACTCACCCAGGATGGCGAGGGGACAGCACGACACTCCTGACCCTACCCCGCTATGCCTCAGATTCCTCCCTCAGCCGCAAGCCCACCCTCTGCCCCACGCACCCCATGAGCCATCCCACCCTGGAGCCTGCCGGGGCCAGCGCTGCCCCTCCAGGCCCTGGGGGAGGGTGGAGGAGGAAACAAAGGAGGCACACTCCCCACGTGCCACCCACAGGCGGCCACGGTTCCATTGTCTCCTGTGCACTCTGAGCCTCGGTCTCCCACCCACAAAGCCTGGGAGCCGGCACGCGCCCCACAGCACCTCCAACACCATCCTCAAGGGGCTAGCCACCACCGACCCCAGCCCGGGGCCCACCTGCTGGCACGGGCCCTGCCCAGACACCCACTCCAACCCGACCCATGGCCTGCCACCTGCGCAGAAGCCAGTGCAATTCAGCGAGCCTAACAGGCTGGAAGTAATGGCAGCAGCCCCCTACCCCAGCCCTAGCTTGTTTCTTTGTTTCTATGGTAACTGCCCAAGGTCAGCTCTCAGCACGGGCAGAAGCAGCTCCAGCCTGGGCTGAGACAAAAGGCGGCCGGGCCTGCTCAGCCTGCTCTGCCGGGGGCTCCCGGGGGCTAATGAGCCGGTGTGGGGGGGGGCAACACGGCCCGCACACTTCCAGGAGACCCCACCTCGCGCCGGGAAGGGGGGGAGGGGGCTTGGACTCAGGACCAATGGCGACATAAGGTCTTTCTTCTCAGCTCTAAACATTTCAAATCCTGCCGCCAGCACCGCTCTGAGGAACGTGGCGGCAGCAACCACAAAGCCCAAGCAGAGGGGGACGTGGCCAACTGCAGGTCTGCCCCCTCCAGCAGCCATCCACCCCAGACAGCACCGCTGCCCCCGGCCACGGGGACTCCCGAGCCGGCTAGGAGGGGCTCCTGTCCCCGCCCCCCCCAGTTCCCCAAGGACCCCAGCCAAGCTCTCTGCCCCTAATTGGGGTGAAGGCTGAGGCCACAGCAGACCCGGGAGGGAGTCTGCACAGCACGGCAGCCTGCTCATCAGCCAGCGCGACAATGCCCTAATCATATGCCCTGTCACTCCCCAGTCAGGGCCCGAGGTCCCCCCGGACCGACGCTGATAAGGCTCCCACCTCCCTGCCTGCCTGCCTCTGTGATTCATGGACAAGCTGATCAGCACCCGGGCGGGCTGCTAATGGGACAGTGACCCGCAGCTGGGCTGCCATTACCACTCATTACCGAGATGACATCCTGCAGTCCTCGTCCCTCAGGCCACCGGGGTGAGCGTGGGACCGGGCAGACCCAGGCTCTGCACAAGCCGCGGCCAGACCCAGGAGGATCCACTCCCACCTCCCCCTTCCAGAGCCATTCTCTCCGCCCAACCACCCATCCACACAGTCCCGGCCCCAGGACCCGGGCTGAAGGCTAGGCCTGCAGTGAGACCTCGGAGGGGGGCCCAGAGGCCGCAAACTTCTGGCCCGGTCCACCCCAGGCAGCTGAGCTTCAAGCCTGGGACTCAGGGAGCCCATATGCTCCAAGCATGGCCTAGCAGGCGGGCCGGCCATCCACTGAAAGCGGCGGAGCAGCTGTGGCCCCAGACAACCCCCACCCCTCCACTATGCACGGGCAAGACCACAGCCCTCCGGGGAAGAACCACAGGCCACCGAGTCTCCGAGGGGCCTCATTCCTGTCCACGCAGCCGCACCCACGCCACTGCCCGGGGGGGGGGGGGGGCCCAGGAAACGTACCTGATGAAGAAGGAGGCTGCGGCAGACGCCGCCGAGCCCCCTGCGGAGGTGCCTGGGGCCGGGGTGACCAGGGCCGACGTGCAGGCCGCCCCACGGCTCCACGGCCCGGCCGTGCCGTCCAGGCCCGCAATGGGGGTGGCATCGCGGACAGAGTCCGCCACAGCCACGGCAGCCACGGCCGCCTCCGCCTGTGGGAATGGAGAGTCCAGGTGAGATACAGGACCGGCAGAGGCACCCCACACACGCCCAGACCTGCACTCTCCAGGCTCGGCACCCTGGCACTCTTAACCATGTGGCCAGAAGGCGCTAGAAATCAAGGCTAGGCCACTGAGGCCCCGCAGGGAAGGCCCACAGCCCCGGCTCGGGGCTCTGACGGGCCAGCCTCGGCGGGGGCCTGCTGACCTGCCAGGACTCTGACTTTCCAATCCTCCCCCTCACAAAAGACAGTGACCACAGGGGTCAGGTGGATGGACTCCCCGTGCCCTTTAACTCCTGGGCCTTTTGGGAGCACCCCGAGGCATAATTAGACAAGAATCCACAACAACTGTTTGTCATGAACGCTAATTGCTCCACGCACGATCATGTACCGTGTTCCCATTGTCTGAAATACTACTGTGGCATTTCCAACTAATTAGCTAAAATAAATTCCACAGAGGGAGGTGGCCTCGTCTGAAGCATGGACGTAATTCAACGCTCCCCAGGACAGTTTCCACCGAGGTCCTGTGTGTACCTCGGCCCCGGGCTCTGGAGGGGGAGGGGACGCAACCCCAGCAGGGCAGGACGGGACACCGGGGCCCCCGGGGGCTGCCGTCCCGAGGCCTCCACAGCACCAGCTCCATGTGCTCCTGAGAGGGGTCCACACCCCTGCCCACAGTGCCCCAAATCCTGGCTGGCAGTGGATGGGGTTCCCAGGCTGAGAAGATGTGCCTGGATGTCCCAGGGTACGGAGGCCAGCCAGAACCCCCACGCCAGGCAGGACTGGAGACCCTGGCAGGTGGCCCTGCTGTCAAAAGGGCAGCTGCCCTCACCACAGGAGAGGGCCTCATCTCGCCCACTCCACGGCCAGGACCAGCCTCGAGATACTGCCCGGGACACAGCAGAATCAGCTCAGTCCTCGGAGTGTCCCAAGCATTAGGCCAGTGTTAGCCCAGCACCCCCGTGGCCTCTGGGCAGGGAACACTCCCCCAGAGCCTAGAGAAGGAACGGCAGCGCCAGCAGCGGCAGCAAAGGGCAAACGTGGAGCAGGAGGGTGAGCCCGGGCAGCTCGCTGGGTATGGTGCAGCAGACCACACTGGCCACCCACCCCTACATGCCCTCAGAACCCAGCCTGGCCACCTCCCTCCCTCCCAGCCACCCCGCGACCTCACACGTGGATTCCTGTGCACCCAGTAACGGGGACTATGAAAGGCCCAAACCTTTTCTCTGAGCCTGAAGTGACAGCACAAAAACCGTGAAGCTATGCTCACCGTGGGAACCACGCTCCTCAGAACAGAGCGGGGCTTCACTGAGCACAGCGGCGGCAGGGTGGGGCTACGGGTGAACATGCACTGCCTCCTGCTCTCTGGCACCTCCGGGTGGGCTGCACCACCGGGCGGAGAGCCCCGGCCAGGCCCGCCAGCCCAGGACATGGGCTTGCTGCCGGACACAGGAGCAGAGGGCGAGGCTGCTGCCGCTGCCCCGTGGGGCCACTCCACCCACGCCTGCGGGGCCCAGCCGCCCCCCAGCAGCATGTCCGCTTCCAGCCTGACATGTGGCCCAGCAGGCGGCGCATGCCTGCGAGGCTGAGCCTCCACACTGACCTGTGCCAGGAATCCCGCACGCGCTCAGCTCCACCGTCCCACGAGCTGCCGTGACACGGCTGCGTCCACCGGGACGGCCACGGCCAACTCCTGCCAGAAGCAGAGCCCAGGCAAGCGCAAAGAAGCCATCCCAAAGCAAGGGCGGAGTGGGAGGGCCGGCCAGAAGGAAGACCACAACATGAGGGGAGAGGAGACGGGGCGGGCACCAAACAGAAAGCGTGATGGCACACAGCAGCAACGGAAGAAAAGCATGAAGAGAGGAGAGAGCGTGAGCGGTGCCCGGCCGGGGCTGGCAGTGCAGGGCCCAGCCAGCGGGGCACCCGTGTCCTCTCACAGCGTGGGGCCTTCCCCACAGGCCTCCCCACACACGCTGGCACAGGCCTGCCTCCTCTGAGCCCTTGGCCTCCACCACCCCGGACTGGCCTCCAGCGAGCCCAGGCAGCGCTGGGAGGGGGGCTGAGGGAGGTGTGGGCAGGCAGCTCAGTGGGGGGGGGGCGGTGTGGGCAGGCAGCTCAGTGGGGGGTGAGGTGAGGGCGGGCAGCTCAGTGGGTTTGTGGTAGTGAGGTGAGGGCGGGCAGCTCAGGGCTGACAGCAGCCCCCCCTCTGTGCAGGGGCACCGCCCATGGAGGGAGGGGGGCTCAAGCCCAGCTGTGCCATCTCACCGGCCCATGAAGCCCTGATCTGTCACCCAGAGGCCTCTGGGGCAACCCCAAGACAGGAAATCAGCCCGTAGGGCTTCGTCCTGACTGAAACAGGTGGGAGGGGGTGTTGTCCCTCTTCCACAGAAAGTACACTGAGGCCCACCCTAGCAGAGTCCAGGGGCACCAAGATGAGGCCCAAGCCTAGCCAGTGCCCTTTCCTCCCAGCGTCCGGTCGGCCCCGATGGCTCAGTGGCACCCAGAACCGCACAGAGCTCTGAGCGCAAGGCAAGCAGGCAGGCCAGGACGGCAGCAGAGCCCCCCCCGCCCCACGCACCACCCAACTGCCATGGCGGGGAAACCCGCTCCCAGGGCCTCCCCCAGGCTTCGGCCGCTAACCTAACCAGGAACACAGGAAGGGCCTGCCCGCGGGGCGGGGAGCGGGGCCTGCGGACCGCACTCTCAGGGCAGTCAGGGTGGGGACAGTGGCTGATTCCAGCTGCCACTGGCTGACAATAGGGAAATAACAGCCTGGCTGGCTACCAGAGTTCCAGAACAGTCTGGACACTAAGCAGGCAGAAGGGACCAGACAGGGCCCCTCTCTACGCTCAGGAAAATAACACGGACTGTGGGGCTGGTTTCAGCTATACTGGCTGCAGCCAAGACACAAGGCAGACTCTGCCTGAGGCTCAGGACAACCCCGGTGCCCTGGGTGACTCTTCTCTCCTGGTGATGGATGTCCAAGTCCCCCCTTCCTCTGCCTCCACAGAGAGAAGCGTCTACTGCGCTCACGGCTGCTCCCCCCACCCACACCCCGAGCTGGAACCATGCAGCCCCCCACCCCCATCGCCCACCCACACCCCGAGCTGGAACCACGCAGCCCCCCCACCCCCATTGCCCACTGCCCAATCCCACTCTCGCCAGGGCCTACATTTGGTCTGTGACAGATTCACAGCGCTATACTCCAGAAGTGTTTAATTCTAGAGTATACGGCAGTGTTTTATCACTCCAGGGCCGTCTCTAATGATCGATGTCACGGTGTGGAGGAAGGAGGGGAGGAAGAGTGCATTACCTCATCTGAACCCTAAAGTTCTATTTATGGTTCTAATAATCTCCCTATTGATTGTGGGGACTGTTCTCTAATTATAAATCCATTCCTACCTACCCGAACACAATCGATGTGCACATAAAGCGAGGAGGGGGTGTCTTAAATGCCCGCATTTTATGGCACTGCTGGCACACGGGGCCCCGCCACCAGCACCACAGTAAAGACCCCACGTCAACCTGCTCAATTTGGGGTCAGGCATACTGGCCGGCCATGGGCGCCAGCGTGGGGACACGGGAGGGAAGATGGTTCGTGAGCTTCTTAACGCTCAGGCCTCACCAGTTTCCCTCGGGGCCGGCCCCCTCCAGATGTCCACCGGCACCTTCTGCACCACACCAGAAGGTCCAGGAGGCCCAGTCCCCACCCCAAGATCCCTTCCGGTTGATACACGGAGGAGCCCTGTGCTATCATACCAGGAGCAATGAGGCCCCTTGCTGGATGAATCAGCCAACCAACAAGATGCCGTGGTCCTCCTCTGTACCCTAACCCTAGAGCAGAATGGCCTCAAAAGACTGGCCTCAACAGGCAGCTCCAGAACCAGCTCCAGAGGAGCCAGGCAGGCTTCTCGGTGGCCTCATCCCAGGGGGTGGGCCTGTCAACTGAAGAGATCTCAAAACATTGTCTGGAGGGTGTGGGACTTCCCTGAGCCTCCGTCCACCCTCCTGGAATGCCTGCTGGCTGGGAGACCACGGGTGAGGGCTGGCCAGCCCATTCCAGTCTCTCACAGCCAGAGCCACATACCCGGAACGCAGATCCTGTAGACAGTGCTCCTCGCACCCACCTACGGCCTGGGACTCCCCCTGGCCTCTGCCCCCTCCTACAGCCTTCCCCACGGGGGCCTCACGCCTCTCCTAGCTCTGCTGGCCATGCCCTCCACCTGCACTAATCAGCACCCCCTCCCCAGGCTGGGCCTCTGGCTGGGGACAGGCAGGCAGCCCCAGAGCAGTGTCTCGGGTTGGGCAGGGGCCCTGCAGAGTGGCTGACACAGCCACGTGGCCACACTCCCTAAACTCAGACCTTGCTCTCCAACATCCCAGAAAAGTCCCCCTCCAAACCCATTCTCCCAGCTGGAAAATAGACGGCACAGGATGCTGGGGACACCCAGACACAGAGTGGCCACCGAGCTTGCTTCTCAGGCCACGTGGCCGCTGTCCAGCCACTGCAGGGCCCCCTGGTGGGTTCCGTGGGGAGGGCAAGCTGGAGGGACCAGGCCCAGCTTGGCGGGCGGGCCTGCAGCCCTACTGTAGACCCGGGGCCTTGCCCTTGGCTCCAGGCGGCCTGTGTCCATGGAGACGGTGGAGGGGGGGGCAGCCTGGCTTAGCTCACTCCTCACAGGCAGGTGCTGCCCGCTCCCCACCCCAGGAAGGGTCTGGACTCATCTCAGCCAAGCTTGGGCCTCTGCCAATCCACAGCATCACAGGCAGGCTGGCCAAAACCATCTGCAGCCACTCCCAGGGGTGAGAGACCCTTCCCACCAGCGCCACGCCCGGGGACCAGCGCCACGCCCGGGGACCACCTCCCACTTCCGGGCCCCATGGCGGGAAGGCACCGTGCCAAGCCCCCAGCTCCGCTCAGCCCACTCGGGCACTCACCAGGCAGGTGGGCGGCAAGAAGCTGTTGATCCTTGAGAGACCCCACACGCCCTCCAGGCACTGCTGGGCCTGGATGGTGACGGTGCTCAGAGCACCCCCAAGGCCCGCGGGTGCCACGGACACCTGGACGCTTGGTCCGGACGGCCAGGCTGGGCCTTTCCTCCTGTCGGGCCCTGCTGGGGGCTGTCTCCCCGCAGGGCCTACCGGCCCAGGTGTGTCCTTGGAGTTGGTCATGGTTCCGGGGCTGGGGGCTGGGATGCCTCCTCGAAGGACATCAGGGCCACCGCGGCCGGCCGGGCCCTGGAGCAGGTGCAGGGCCTCCCTCGTGAGCTGGTGCAGGTGTGTGGCACAGACATCACAGCGGCTCTCGGCCTCCGGACGGCATGCTGGCAAGACCCCGGGTGCTGGGAGCTTGTCGAGAAGCAGAGCAGACAGGCAGGGATCCTGCGGACAGCAAGGGACAAAGCCGGTCAGCGCCAGGACTCACAGAGCCCGGCAAGGAGCCCGCCGTCCGACTCGGCCCCCACGGCGCAGCAAGCTCCCACACCAACCCAGCACTATCCATAACCAACTAACAAGCCTGAGTCATTTCATCCATGGGATCCCAGCAGGAAAATAATTATCAGAGCTTAATGGTGAGGTCTGCAGGACCCTTGGTAGCCTCCTGCTCGTGGCTAAGATGTGCTTGCAGCTCCTGGACAACCAAACCCGGCAGTAGAGATGCTGGGAAGCTCAGGCAGGAGGCCAGTGAGTAGAGACCAGACCACAGGGCCTCCTTCGCCCTGCTCACCAGGCAGGGCGGGGCCTGCACACCACAGGCTGCCCTATTGCTCCTGAGAAAGAAGTGAAATGTGGAGCTGCTACGTGTGACCCGGGGAGGGAGGCCACCCCATCCCTGAGCCAGGGATGTGGGGCTCTGAACAGTGAGGGCACTGGGCAGAGACGGGCAGGAGCCGATGCCCACTGGGGAGCAGGGTGGAGGGCCACACCTTCCACAGCAGCAGAGGAGGAGGCAGGGCCTTGTGAGCCTTGTCAGGCCCAAAACAAGTGACTCCTCCCCGCTGCTTGGCCAGGCTCCGCCCACCCTCCCTCCGCAGCCCCTCAGGGCCAGAGGCCGAGCCTGGCTGAAGCTGGTCCTGCTCTTGAAGGCACTGGCCAGCCCCAAACACAAGGCAGGGAGCCCTGGGTCACACGGGCAGACGTGGCTGTGATGAGGCTGGAGTGTGCGCGTGACAGCTGGCTAAGAGCTCCAGGTCTTCCCTGCAGACCACTCCGCGCACCCCAGCAGCCTGGCCCGGGCAGACCCCAGCGCTCCGCCGGCCACACACAGGCCTGGGCCTGATCCAGCCACCCAGCTGGCCACGGAAGAGGCGCATTCATTCCTCAGACGTGGAAACCAAGGCTGCCGTCCCACAGGGGTGACATTCCCTGGGTCTGCTGTGTGGTCAGCAGCCGTGGCCACAACGCACAGGAAGCTCCCACGGGCCACAGCCGTGCCCTGGGGCACCCAACACTGAGAGGGGCAGGGACCCACCGTGGCAGGGGCCTGGGGTCTCTCTCTTCCTCTGGCCCCCAGGTCCACGCCACACTCTGCAGCCTAAGCCCCTCCCCCACAGCCCCAGACAGAGGAAGGGGTGACCCCTGCGAGGCCCAGCACACGCCAGCCGCCTGATTGGTGGGCCGTTCCGGAAGGCCTGGATTGTCTCCAGGCTCTGAAGTGCCTGGCAGGCCTGGTCCTGATTAGCCAACACCCCGCTCCTCCTGCGCCCCAGGGAATCCACTGGCCTCGGCCACTGGGAGCTCTGCAGGACTGAGGGCCGGGCAGGAATGCTGGCTGGTGGGGGCCAGCTCCAGGCTGAGGACAGCTGCCCATTTTCCTGTCCACTCCTTTTTGATTGGGCTGGTTTTTCCACTCAGCAGGGGGCTGTGGAGGGGAAGGAAGTACAGCCTGCTGGAGCCATTAACCCAACTTAAAAGACTGGGGCCCCGCCCCCAACTCCAGCCCCAGGCCCTGGACCAGCAGCCCAGCCCAAACCAGCCCAGCCCAGCCAGCCCTTTGTTCTGGGGCCTCTGGGGGATTCCCTCTACCACCCCAGCTTCGGGATCAGGAAGGCAGCCCTAAGAGTAGGGCAGGGGCCAGGAGGCAGGTCTGAGGGCAAGGGCCAGGTGGGGCTCTGAGGCCACAGCCCGGTTTGGGGACAGGATCTCTGCTAGGTCAAGGAAGTCCATCTCCTGGAGACGATAACTACCCCACACTCGGGGGCCCGCCAGCCCCAGGCTCAGGCGCAGCGGGGTTACCGGTCCATCACACAGCAGGGACACCCTGGGTCCCTCAGGCCAGCCAGGCTGCAGTGGGGGACAGAAAGGGGAGCACAGGGACCCAGAGCCTCTGATCTGTCTCACCATACTGTTTGCTCCAGGGGGATCAAGACATCTCCCCAGGGGTGCACGTGTGCAGGACAGGCAGGACAGCAACCGCAGAGCACAGTCCCGCGCCCGACCTTCACGCCCGACCTTCACGGCTCCACAGAGGCCTCCGAAGGGCGACACCCTCCCCCCCCACCCCCGGCACCCACTACTCCCTGCAAGCACCACACTGAGCTCAGACCCCAGCCTGCGTCCGGCTGCTCTGCCCTGTCTGCCCGGCTGCTCTGCCCTGTCTGCCCTCCTCCCGCCCACCCCCCCCTCCCGTGGCAGCCGCTTATGAACTCTGCTTCCTCCAGCCAACATCTTGCCCCTGATGGGACCTGGCACGTCTGGAGGAGGAGGGGCCCAGCCCGCGCAGCCAGACCCTTCCCCAGCCCCCGCCACATCCCCAGGGGTCAGCCCCCACGTTTTAAGATCTGCACCCCTGAAAGCCGGGCGCCCAGCCTGCTACTCACCCGAGTCAGTGGTTTCAGAAAGACAGTAATTACTCCTCTGCAAAATATTACTTTTAATTTCCTCTTTATGGTCTAATTAAACAGATATTTTACTTGCACTTGGAAAGTGTTTTTCTTACTCTGATTCAATTGAACGCTGCGCTCCCCACACACCACACAGTAGGTTTGGGGGCCTCTCTTACTTGAAAATGATGACTTTTCAGCTTTTATTTTGTTTCTGGGGTCTCCGAGCTGCTGTAAGTAATCCTTCCATTTCCTTCTCCGTGCACAGCCGGTGCCTGGCCTGGAGATGTGTGGGCTCCAGGCCTGACCCAGCCTGACCAGCAGAACAGACACCCCCCCTCACCCGGCCACAGCAGACCGGAGGCCACCAGCCCCGAGGGAGACCCCCTCGGAGCTGTCATGGGACCCCAGCTCCCTCAAGCAGGGTGGCTCAGGGGAGACAGGCCGCGGGCCTGAGACCCTGGCCTCTCCTGCCGGACACCGCAGGGTGCGAGCAAGTGGACAGCCAAGCCCAGGACCCCGCTGCCGTCCTGCTGCCATCCCCTCCGCCGCATCCTCCCTTCCCTTCCCAAACAAAGCCTCTAGGCTGTGACCCCTAAGCTGCTCTTTCCGGAGTTCACAACAGGTCCAGGAAAGGACTGGGGCTGCCTGCGGGGCCAGGGGCTGCTCCAGAACATTCCTCTGTCTCCAGCAGCCTGGTGGGGCTGGGGGCCCAGGGGCCAGGGCGTGCTGAGTGTCCCAGCCTGGAAATCGCCAGTGGGGCTCTGCCCTCGGCCCCGCCCACCCCTGGGCCTCTCACTCAAGGCCCAGGCTGCAGGCTGTGGATCTGCAGTTCTGAAAGCGGAGGGGCATCCAAGGAGGCAGGCCAGCCCACCCAGCACTGCCCAGCACGCCACCCCAGCCCCGTGCCAGGCGCAGCCCGGCCGGACTGCTCCGGACAGATCCCCCCATTGAGCCCTCCCCCTCAAAGGCCTGCCCTGTTCCCCGCCACTGGCCTCCCTGCCGGCAGCCAGGCCCTGAGACAGCAGGCCAGGCAGGCACAGGCAGCCTTGGGGAGGCCGGGACAGTGTGTGGAATAGGCTGCAGCCAGTGGGTGAAGCACAGAGCCCCGTGCACCTCCGTTTCCCCCCCTGAGCTTCGGGGCAGCAGTGAATCTGCACTGCAGGTGCTGGGGACCAGGCCCAGAAGCTGGTCACAGGGGAGCCTGCCGGTGCCACTGGCTGGGCCGGCCGAGGCCAGGCACCCCGGGCGTGCACACAGCCGAGCCAGGCCCCTGCTGCTGCCGGCAGGAACAGCACCACTAGCCGCCCAGGTAAGTGAGGAGCCGCAGACCTGCCCTAAACATGCTCCCTTCAGAAGACACCCGAGAACCCAGGCAGGGTCGCGGAAAAGACCCGGCTCAGCCAAGCCCTTCCCCAGGCTCTGGGTAGGAAAGTCAGGTGCTGCAGATGGAGAACCAGTCTGTGAGGGCACCCTGTCTCCAGCCTGCGGGCGGGCACTGTCCCTCCTCAGAGCCGCTACGCCCTTTGCCCACACAGCTCTGGCGCTGACTGGACACGCTGGCTCTGCTGCCCACCCGCCCACCCAGCTCACACTGCAAGGCCACCAGATGAGAGCACGAACCCAAACCCACAAGAAGCATCTGGCCCCAGCACCAACCCAGCCCAGACTCCAGGCAGCACAGGCCAACTTCCTCCCCTCAGAGGACCTGTGGCCACAGTCCCGTGTCCCATCCTCACCCAAACTCAACAGCGAGGCCCCGCCCCACGCACCAGGGACCTGCCTCCACCCTGCTCCCGCAGAGGGAACTCGTGCCCGTGTCACCCGGAGGCTCCGAGGCCCCAGTAGCAGTGGACATGCACAACCAGGTCAGATGACTCTGGGGATCTACCCCAAGCTTCGCCCTGGCCGCCGCCCGCTTCCCCCTCCTGGAGGGCCTCCAAGCCGACCTCCCCAGCCCAGCCCGGTCCTCAGGAGCAGAATGGGTTTCTGGGCCTGGAGAGTGAGGAAACCAGGGTATCTATCTTCAGATGCCTTCCCAGGCAGGCGGAAAGTGTAGGTGCCAAGGAGAGAGGTGCCCAGAGCTGCCCGAGGCAAGCCAGGGAAGGCTGGAGGACAATCCCTCAGTCCTGGGCGGGCAGGAATGGTGAGGCCTCTGGGCTGTGGCCCAAGGCCGCAGGCAGGGACCGCAGCAGGAGGGCGGGGTCCCGAGGAAGGCCCTGCAGCCTGAGCCTCTCTCGGCGCAAAGCACCGAGCAAAGTCCAGCCTGGCACATTCCATCGGCCAACAGGCAGTGGCCCAGCCTGACCTCATCACCCAGGGTCAAAGGTTCACACACGCCACATGTCAGAGCGGCCACCCGGGACCAGCCACAGCAGGCGCCAGGCATGGCCCTGGGCCATGAAGGACCATCCATCCACCAGCTCCACAGGCCAGTCCGGGCCTGCACACCCCCGCTGGCCTCCTCCCGCTGGAAGCCTGCCACCGTGCCCAGACAAGGCTGGGAGCACTGGGTGTCTGCAGCCAGCCGCATACCCCAGAGAGCCCCACCTGAGATGCAGCCCTGGCTACAAGGACCCCCAGCCCAGCAGGAGCAAGAGAGACTCCACCAGGGACCCTGCTCACAGATGGAGAAACTGAAGCCTCTGGGTCCTGCCCCAGGTCCACCTTCCCGGGAGAATTTCCTTTGGCACAGCGTTCACCCCAGCAGAGTGAGAAGCTGGAGCCCCAGGGCAGAGGCCAGCCTGTCCCGCAGCAGAGGGCACCGAAGGGCTGTCTGGGCCTTCTAGACGCACCTCAACTGCCCGCGTCCCCGTGACCCGGCCAAGCTGAGCAGACCAGGGCCAGCATCCGCAAGACATGCTCTGGCAGACACGCAACGAGAGCCGGTCACTGCTGCAACCCACAAGAGTGACCAGCTCCGTCAGACCAGCTTGGTCACCGCAACAGGACGGGAGGAGGGAGACTGATCTACCGTGAGTTTCCCGGCAGACGGGGAGAGGGGATGGCTCTTCCTCGTAGCCCTTCTGACTCCCAAAGATGAGGCCCTCGGAACCACAGAGGGAGATGAGGGAAGGCCTCGGGGCCATTCCCTGGCCCGCCCAGGCCACCGCAAGCCCCGCTTACACAGCAGTTCACACAGCAGTTCACGAGGCCTGTGTGGATTCCCTGCCTCCCCCCACCTCGGAAGAAGGGCAGTGAGGCCGGCGGACACCCTCAGTCCCTGCCCAGTCCCTGGTACAACAGCTGGATTCCCTCACACAAGACAAAAAGCTATACCAGCCCCTGGACGGCTCCTCTACCAACTGTGACCCCTGGACATAGCTGACCCAGAAGAGGTCAAAGGACACCAGCTCCTATCTCGGGTCATCCTCTAACGTCCGCTAGCAATGGCGGCAGAGGCCTCCACCAGCAGCCAGGCCTCCACCAGCCCCTCTGCCTCCCATCGGCAGCCTGGAACCCCAAACTTCCCAGCCAAGCCCCAGGAGCAGACTGCTTCCCCATGAATCACCTTGTCCCCTGCCAGCCAAAGGGGCACTGCCCCCCCACACCTGCCCCGGGTGCCACCTGGGCTCAGGTGGGAAAGAGCAGATGCCGCCCAGGCCCCACCCCGCAGTACCCCAGGCGGCCAGCCGGCAGGCAGCAGGTGGAGCCCAGGCCTGGCTCCCCACAGCAGGGGAGAGGGGGGAGGCAGGGGAAGGGGGGATGGCAGGGGAAGCCTCCGGCCTGGCTCCCCCACCCAGGGCACCTTGTTTGGAGGGCCACAGACCCAAGGTCTCAAAATCACAATGTAACGTCAGAGCTGGGGGCCTTGCAGACAGTTCTCAGAGGCTGGGGAGAGGAGGACTTCCTCCCCCTCACCCAGGTGGAAAGAGAGGCAACCGAGAACCACACACAAGAGAAGAGGCCGTACAACACACACACACACACACACACACACACACACACACACGCACAGGCAAGGCGGTCCAGTGGCTCTGAGGCACTCGGAAGGCAGGAGAACAAGACCCCAGCCTCAGATGAGCAGGAGGTTTGCAAGAGCTAAATGAGAATCGATCCTCTCCCAGTTGGGGTGATAATCAATTCAGTGCTGGTATTGACACCTCAAATGTCACAGGGTCTCTGGAGGAGCCGCCACCTCCCAGGGGCACGTGTGGCAGCAGCTTGTGACCCAAGCCCCCACCCCACCCCAGCGGAGAAGGGACCTCTGCGGCAAATCTGAGCACCGCCCTGCATGGGACAGTGTCAGGGAACAGAGCAGGAATCCGGCCCAGCCGCCCCCACAGAGGTGCAGGAGGAAAAGCTGTCCCTCAGCCACTCAGCACACATCCCGTGGCCACTGTTTTCACCTGGCGGAGCTGCTGCCTGGAGTGGGCTGGGCTGGGGACAAAGATTAGGGGCTATGGAATTGGTAGCCATTTCACTGTGGCAGATGAGGACACAGGACGGGGAGGGTGGCAGGCTCGGCTCTGTCCGGGGAAGGCCCTGGCTCTGGCCTCAGAGGAGGGCACTGCTGTGCATGGCGCGCCCCCTGGGAAGGGGCCATGAAGGACCACAGCAGTGGTGGCAGAAGGTCTGGGGAGAAGGAAGACATCTAAGACAGAGGAGGAGCGTGGTTCCAGACCCACAGAGGATGTGGCCCAGACACCACAGGAAGCCAGGCCACAGGTGTGAATCCAGGCCACGCAGGCATCCTAAGCCAGGGGACAGACCTGGAGACCGGGGGGGGGGAGGGGAAGGGGACACAGTGGGGCCCTCCCACACACCCAGGCCCCACGGCTTCTCAGACGGGGCGGGACAAGCCTCCCCTGGGCGCTGGGCAGGAGGAGGATGTTTCCTCCTTCCTGGACTCAGAGGAGAGCAGCGGGCAGCAGGGCGGTCCTGGACACCACAGCCCGCCTTGCCCAACACCGGTCTGCACGGCTGCCACACGGGCACCGCAGAGACCAGTTCTGGGGCAGAGAAAGGGGACCAGGAGTCGGCAGAGTGAGTGACCAGCAAGCTCCCGGTGATGGAGGCTGGAGGCCGGCAGGGCCCCCGGGGCACGGGCCCCAGCCTCACGCCGCTGCTACGGCTGCCAGAGAGAAAGAGGCAGCTCCCTTCTCTGCAAACCCTTCAGCTGTGCTCAAGAGTTCACCTCCCTGGGACCAGAAATAAGAACTAGACCTCTCTGGAAGACCCTAGCCGCGCACTAAATGGCCCAGGGCCCGTGCCTGGGCTCCGAGGCGTCAAAGCTGGGCGCTCACCCTCAGCAGGCTGCACACGGCCTCCTTCGCCTCCCAGGAAAGAGCCTGTGCCACGTGCACTCTGAGCCACAAAAGCAACAGGACAGGACCCACGGAGGCGGTGCGGCCAGGCTCCAGGACTCGGTCCTCTGGAGAATGACGAGGGACCTCGCTGCCCTCAGCATGGCACTCCAGGCCAGCGGGCCATGCCCAGGTGACAGAGGAGGACACCTGGGGTGGGTGGGGCCCAGGGCAGCCAGAAGCCTGGTCCACTGGTGCCAGTGCCGCCCAGGGCCAGGGGAACCCCCACCCGGCGCTTGTGAGCTACAGCCTGTCTCAGAGGCCAAACTCAGGGGTGTGGACCCTCCCCCATCACAGAAGGGAGACCCTCAACTCCAGAGTCAGCTGGTATGGACTCCATCCCCCCCAACAGCCCTGAGCCTGACCCTGGCCAGCTGCCCTGGGGCCTGAGAAGCAGCACAAGGCAAAGTCCACTCCGCCATCCGGGAGGCCAGCTCCACCAAGGAGCCCCTCCCAACCCTGGCCAGGCTCCTGTGGGGCCTCGGGAGCCCCGCCCGTCCCTCAAATGGCATCTCTGAGGGAGCCCTGCCATCTTTTAAGTTAGACTCAAGCCATCTGGGGTGCAGAGCTTGGCAAAGGAGCCACAGGCTCCTCCCAGGCCAGGCCCGTGCTCTCTTCCCCCACACAGAGGCCGAAGCCTCCCCAGCCCTGGCCGGTCCCCAGGGGTCTGCCCCGGCCCAGAACCACACTCAGGGCCGCACCCAGACCACACCAAGTGCTTGGAGCGCTGAGTTTGTGTTCAGTGGGACTACATGCACTTCCCAGACTCCTTCAAAGAGCTGCAGGTCAGAGGCCGCTTCCCCTGGGCCCGCAAACTTCCAGGCGTATTGTTCCTGGAACAATGGCTCCTTCCAGGCCGGCCAGCCCCAGAGGCCTGGCCACTCACCACAGCAGGGCTGCAGCCTGGGAACCCAGAGGCCTGGCCACTCACCGCCCATGGGAGGCAGAGAGGTCCTGGATGGGCGTAACCCACATGAAGAAAGTGGGACTGGGTACCCCAGAGCACCCCATCGGCAAGGGGCAACCGCCCCTTCTCCCCTGCCCGGAAGTCCTCCAGACCCAGGCCTGCCAGGGCCCAGGTGCCACGGTTCCCCCACACCCAGTAACCTCTTCTGGTGGCTGGTGGGGCTCTGCCCTGGTGGAGTACGTGGCTGGCCACACACAGAGAGTCAGGCACGTGGGGCAGACACACACACAGACACACACACACAGATGCACACACAGACAAGTGGTTCCAGCTGTGGGACATCTGCAGCTAAGGAAAGAAAAAAACCCTCCTGCAAGCTCCCTCCACCCGCAGCGGAAACCGGGCCGCGCAGCCCCAAC